GGTAGCTTGATGTATGATGATTTGATTTTGGAAAACTTTGAAAGGTCATAACTTTGTTTCTATCAAAGATTTAAAGCTGTAATTTTCAGCGATTCTTATTCCAGTAGAGGACTACCTACAATCCCTGAAAATTTCAACTCATTTGGACTTATAGTTCCTGAGATAAAATTGTGTTAAGCAATTTGGGTTAATTTATCACGTTTTTCAATTTTTCTGAATGCCTTTTCTCATAGATTCCGGCCTCAAATCCGAGAATAATTTAGTTTATGGAGTTCGGGGGATCCCAAATGACCATTAGGACACAAAATCTCAACAGAATTTTTTTTTTAAATTTCATCGTTTTGGTAAGTACGTAACCTTATGATTTAGATTTTGGAAAACTTTGAAAGGTCATAACTTTTTTCCTATTAAAGATATAAAGCTGAAATTCTCAGCGATTCTTATTCCAGTAGAGGACTACTAGACCTACGGCCGAGAAGCAAATAAGTCACCTCATCGGGTACAAAAGGTTCGAGTTTCTTGGATGAAAGTACTTTATGTGCATATCTCAAAATCGGCCGTCTGCCGGGGTCCAGCGGTCAACTTCACAAATGACAGCTCGTCAAAAAGACGAAAATCTGGGTTTTCTCACCTCATTGGTACATGCCTGAAAATTTCAGAATGTGTAAGGGAAAATAAGCTCCTAGATACCTAATTCGGCCGGCAGACGTCGATATTTGGACGCCTATGTAAAGCAGACGCCCGCCGCGACGCCGAAAGTCTGAGGTAAGTTACCTTATGAGGTACATATGCAAATTTGGGCTTAAATGAAAGGTATTTGTGTGTAGAGTAAAAAAATATTTTTTAAAATTCGGCAGACGGTCAACAACAAGTTGCAGACGCTCTAGAAAATTTAGATTTTATTGTTTATACAGCATAAAATAAGAAATATTTAATAAATAACTACAAATTTATTAACAAAATAAATAATTCTGGCCAAATTATAGGCATGTGCGTTACCTAAAAACTACAAAATAAAACATATTCATAAAAAAAAATGGAACAGTTGCGAAACTTTTTATAAGGGTAGAAGCTAGTAGATACCTATTGTAGATATCTACTCCTTTAAACTTTAAAAGCTACATAACATGTAAAGGAGTAAATAGGAGCTTTAGAGAGTTACAAACGAAAAATACGTAAAATAAAACAGGTACAAAAGACGAAAAAGTGAATAGGAACTCTTAGCATTCAAAAATAATAAAAATGCCACATATAGAAAATCCAAAATTTCAGAAATCTCACCAGAAAGTAGTGAAATATGACTTAGAGTCAAGAAACTCTTCGACTGCATCATACTTAAAACAAAATAATATTACCTAATAAAAATATGGCACGAGCTGAAAAGCTTGTAGTGCATGTTAAGGACACTTCCAGCAAAATATAGGAAAAAATGACAAAATAATATCTGAAAAATAATGATATTAAGATTCTTTTTTAAATTTTTTGGGTATCAAATCAATTTCTATTGATCATCATCAGAAGAATCATGCATTATCCCTTCAATTTCATCGTCCATATCGTCGGTATAAAAATAAGATATTGAGCGTGATAAACGAGCAAATTTATATGAATGAAAGTAGTATGGAATTCTTAATTCAGGGTTCTGAACAACAACAAACAAATTCAAGCTTATAACAATGGAAAAACCATTCCTAGCGAATGTTTTGATCGAAATTGGAAATTATTTTCATCAAGTTCATTTCCTGGCGTATTTTTGATTGAAAACCGCATTAAAGACGGCAAAACAACCCAAATTCTTCTTAAAAGTGCTTTTTAGACTTGTTCTCTATTAAAAAAGTAAATAATCCGAAATTATTGTAAGATAGAATTATTTTCGCATTTTCTGGAATAACTTCACTTCCAAATGAAAAGTTGGCTTGAAATACGCGTTTAACGAACAAATTCAAGCTTATAACAATGGAAAAACCATTCCTAACGAATGTTTTGATCGAAATTGGAAATTATTTTCATCAAGTTCATTTCCTGGCGTATTTTTGATTGAAAACCGCAATAAAGACGGCAAAACAACCCAAATTCTTTTTAAAAGTGCTTTTTAGACTTGTTCTCTAGAATAACTTCACTTCCAAATGAAAAGTTGGCTTGAAATACGCGTTTAACGAACAAATTCGAGCTTTTAACAATGGAAAAACCATTCCTAACGAATGTTTTGATCGAAATTGGAAATTATTTTCATCAAGTTCATTTCCTGGCGTATTTTTGATTGAAAACCGCATTAAAGACGGCAAAACAACCCAAATTCTTCTTAAAAGTGCTTTTTAGACTTGTTCTTTAGTAAAAAAGTAAATAATCCGAAATTATTGTAAGATAGAATTATTTTCGCATTTTCTGGAATAACTTCACTTCCAAATGAAAAGTTGGCTTGAAATACGCGTTTAACGAACAAATTCAAGCTTATAACAATGATTATTCCACTCATGTGTTAAAAATCCCATAAGACAAGTGACGATTTTCAGAATTACAGCGAAAATTCTCTTTTCCATTTGTTTAACTAGAGAGAATTACAGCGATAATTCTCCCATGTTATTTTATACATGGTTGTCATGCTAATTTTTGATACAAACAAACGGTTCCTGATAGCAACCATTTATTTGTATTGATTGTTTAGATGTTCAAATCATTTATTACATATTTATTTCCATATTTTTTGCATTCTCATACGTGAAATAATCCTCTAAATACCACTTGAGCTTTAAAATGAACCAGATAATTTTTCACCATGCGTGTTTTCTCTGCAAATTTCACTCGTCCTACGGACTCGTGAAATTATAGAAAACACGCAATCGTGAAAAATTATCGGTAATTTTGAAGCTCTCGTGGTATTATCCCCGTTGCTGTTGTTGACCGTCTGCCGAATTTTAAAAAATATTTGTTTACTCTACACACAAATACCTTTCATTTAAGCCCAAATTTGCATATGTACCTCATAAGGTAACTTACGTCAGATTTTCGACGTCGCGGCGAGCGTCTGCTTTATATAGGCGTCCAAATATCGACGTCTGCCGGCCGAATTAGGTCTCTAGGAGCTTTTCCCTTACACATTCTGAAATTTTTAGGCATGTACCAATGAGGTGAGAAAACCCAGATTTTCGTCTTTTTGACGAGCTGTCATTTGTGAAGTTGACCGCTGGACCCCGGCAGACGGCCGATTTTGAGATATGCAAATAAAGTACTTTCATCCAAGAAACGAACCTTTTGTACCCGATGAGGTGACTTATTTGCTTCTCGGCCGTAGGTCTTATCAATTTTTTCAATTTTTCTGAGTGCCTTTTTTCATAGATTTCGGCTTCAAATTTGAGAATAATTTAGTTTATGGAGTTTGGGGGACCCCAAATGACCATTAGGACACAAGATCTCAACAAAAAATAGATATGAAATTTCATCATTTTAGTAAGAAGTTATCTAACTTATGATTTAGATTTTGTAAAACTTTGATAGGTCATAACTTTTTTTCTATTAAAGATATAAAGCTGAAATTTTTAGCGATTATTCCAGTAGAGGACTACAATCCCTGAAAATTTCAACTCATTTGGACTTATAGTTCCTGAGATAAAATTGTGTTAAGCAATTTGGGGTGATTTATCAATTTTTCAATTTTTCGCAGTGCCTTTTTTCATAGTTTCCGGCTTCAAGTCTGAGAATAATTTACTGTATGGAGTTTGGGGTATCCCAAATGACCATTAGGACACAAAATCTCAACAAAAAAAAAATTGAAATTTTATCGTTTTAGTAAGAAGGTATAGTCCGACAAATACCATTTTAAAGTCACGTGATACTGGTGACAAAAAACGTATGTCCATTGATTATGTCGTTCATATCACCTACAAAATGCTACTGGTGATTAATTACTATTGAATTTTAGGATATGTTCACACTAGCATTTTACAAACGCGTTTCTGAAGTAGTATTAACCAATCAGAGGGCAATTTTAATACTTGCAATTGTTGCGAGACTCACTTTTGTCGTATCTGCTGTCTGTTGTAATACATTCTGAACTTAAACTGGGTACCCGTTTTCTATTTGCTTCTTTTCGAGTTGGAAAAAGGTTAATATAGTCAAAATTATTAGCTGTGTTTGTTCATTGTATTATTTTCGAAAATAACTTTGACAAACTAATTGATGACAGTGACGGATTCTATTTCAGGTAAGAATATTATGAAGAATAATTAGACAGCAATTTTTTTGTCAATTTTACTATCACCGCTGTTTGAGATGTATACATCTCAAATATATTCAACAAGGATAGAGAAAAATCACGTGACTTTAAAATGGTATTTGTTGGACTATAGCTTGATGTATGATTTTCATTTTGGAAAACTTTGAAAGGTCATAGCTTTATTTCTATCAAAGATAGAAAGCTGAAATTTTCAGCGATTCTTATCCCAGTAGAGGACTACAATCCCTGAAAATTTCAGCTCATTTGGACTTATGGTTTCAGACATAAAATCATGTTAAGCAATTTGGGATGATTTATCAATTTTTAGTAAGAAGTTAGCTACCTTATGATTTAGATTTTAGAAAACTTTGAATGGTCATAATTTTTCTCCATTAAAGATGGAAAGCTGAAATTTCCAGCGTTTCTTATCCCAGTAGTAGAGGACTACAATCCCGTGTCAACATTAGCTTCACGACATTATTTGTTTTGTTTTTTATTTAAGAAATGAGACTTCAGTAAAGTTGAAGCCTTTTCCGGAAAAAAAAAACAATTATTATAGCGGAACAATATTTCTTCTATAAATCCGACTTCGAGAAAATGTATGGTTGCGTACAAAATGCAATATTTCATAATTATTTATGCAACACAAAAACCCATCATAGATATCACACTGTAACATACCAATAATCAAGTTGGTACCCGCATTTTGCACCTATATTTCACCTTTTCCGCTAAGTGCATTTTGCATTAAATGTCACTACGAGGGGATTGAACATCAGTCCTATGACATCAGTCATCAGTTATATCATTTCTTGGGGCTTAGGGGCACACGAAATTTAAGTCATCATGGAACTCATTTCCTCACCAAATCCACATTTTATTCCTGGGTAAGTGAATTATTGCCTTAAAGCAAAAAGTTTTCATTAAAAGAAATGTTTTCTTCTTTTAAAGATACACTGGATTTTGCCCTCAGTACAAATACAGAATTGGAAATACCTATGGAACCACTACCCATAAAGTCCTTTTGGATCCTACAGTGCACCATGCTGAAAGACTTGTATTGTCTGACAGAATTGCAGACGATTTTAAGGTAAAATTTTAAAAAATCAAAACATATTTTTGATAATTTGGTTTTAAATTCCAGACTTTTCGTCCAGCAAATCGAGATATAGATATTGTCAATGAAAGACAAGGAGATACGATTTATAAGCACCCAATGGTGCCTGGCTATGAAGGTACTTGTCCTGGAACATCAAGTTGCAAACTTACCCAAAGGATTTTTTAGGGTTTGTTCCAAGAGAACATGCAGAATTCGGTCAGAGGTACACAGTTCAAGCTACCGAAGCTTTATCGGATTTCGAGCGGTTACAAAACCAAAACCGAGGCGCTATGAATCAGATTAAGAAAATTGGATATTTGCAGGATAATAAATGGGATCCGAAAACTTTGGAAGATAAAGAGGTAAAGTTACCACTTTTTTCATACGTTGAAAAATGTCTAAACGCTTTCTGTAGTTGACTCGAAGTGAATTTAAATTGCCACTGCTCGAAGTCCGTCCAGAATGTGGAGGTTTGCTAAGAAATATGCCTGTAACGGAACCTCCGATAACACCTCCACACACCTCTCCGAGTCCCTATTTTTCGGACAACATCGATCCAGAGAAATATTTAACAACAGGTAATGAAAAGCTGAACTCATTCATTCAATTTTGACAATGACAATAATCAATGTAGAAAATTGACATTAAAAATGTCCTATAATAAACTCCATAATTCGTTTATGCAACAGCAGAGATATGCACATAAGGGTGCTATTAGAGGTAAAAGTAATCCAAACATAAAAACTTGTTTGTATTTAATATTTTTTAAATAATTTCCTATGCAAACGACAAAAAATCATTGTGTTTCTTTTAGGATTTACTGGTCATGTTCCTTTTGGTTATGCCTCCTTCGGCAAAACCAATCAAGCAATGACCAACAGTAACTTGTGCGATTTTACATCCAACTACAGAAAAAAATTGAGCAACGAATGGGCGCCTGTCGAACTAGACAGACCTGATCCTCCGGTTCTGATTCAACCATCCGACATATATCTTAAGCATATTGGACAGTTGCCTAATTATGGTGGACACATTCCTGGAGCGATATTTAGGTAACATTTTGCTTGATAACTAAAAAAATCAGTGATAAATGTAAATTCAGTCTTACATTATTTCATGTTTGCTCAATAAAGTTTCTGAGGAAAATAATATGTACCTACTTATATCAAAGTTGTTATGGTGAAAAAATAATAATTATTCAAAACTTCATTGGTCTGGTTTTTGGTTGGTTTTACCTTAAACACTTCAAAATAGTTTCTCAAAATCTCAATTGTTCCCTCTTTAGTTTTTATATTAAAAAAATAATTTTGGGATTTTTCAATCGTTTCAGAGAGTTTTGCCTTGCCTAAAATCTTGTTCAATTTCTAATAAAACTAGTCAGTTCTTTTGATAAATTTCAATTTTTTCTAGATACGGAAAAACCTATGGCAATGATTCAAGAGACGCAAAACGATGGCTGAGAGGCGACTTTGGCAACTAAACTTCCACCGAATTTGTTTCCTGATTGTTCCAAGACACTCCATGTATCAAAAGCAATTTTTTTAAAATAAAAATATATTTACAAATAACAATAATAAAATATCTATTTGCCTCTTAGTTTCAGTTCTTCCCTGACTTCCATTTTTGAAGTATATCAGCGGCTGCTTGTAAATTTTTATCCTCCTAAAAATTTACATTGTATAAATTATTTTAAAATTAGCCAAAAAAGACTCTTTACTTTGATGAAGCAATATCTCACAAAGTTCTCGCCTAATTTCTTATGTTCTTCGCCGTAGAAAGCTGAGGGTGGGATTCCTTGCAAACCCACTTTTTTCGTCATCCATTTAGTAAATCTGTAATCTGCATATTTATCAGTTTCTGAGTCAAGATCAACTTGTGACTCTGAAAACATAAAATTAACTATCTGAATGTATTGAAAAATGCAAATTTACTTAATGGTGTCCAATCAGCCATCATAAAGTATCCTCCTTCAGGTATAATAGGCTTGAAACCAGTTTCTTGCAAAAATTTACCCATAAATTCTCTTTTTGGTTCCAATTCTGTGGAGATCGAATTAAAATAGCATTCACTTGAATCTAAACGAGTCAGTTCTTTTTCGAAAGCAATGGCAGTAGCTTCCTGAAATAAGAATCCAATTTTTAGCAACAGCATATTATGAATAAAGCATTAATTGACCTGAATTGGAGTGTTTCCTGTATAAACAGAGTTTTGATGGATCATTTGCAAATTAAACATTAAATTAGCTGGTCCGTAAGCCCATCCCAATTTCCAACCAGTGACACTAAAAGTCTTACCGGCAGATCCGATGGTGATTGTTCTTTCCCACATTCCAGGAAGAGTTGCTACATAATTTTGATCAAAATTCTATACCTAATTTTAAGGTTTGAAACATACCTATCCGAATATGCTGGTAAGGTTTGTACACCAACCATTCGTAAACTTCATCAGAAATACACAAAACATTATGTTTTTTGCATAAATCAGCAATAAAAGTCAATTCTTCTAGTGTAAAAACTTTTCCCAAAGGATTATTTGGGGTATTCAAAATAATCGCTTTGGTTTTCTTATTAAAAAGGCCTTCTAGCTCTGCTTTGTCTAAGACAAAGTCACCTGAAGATAATCTTTTGCCTTCAGTAAGCTTCTAAAATCAACTTATAAATAAATTAGTTCATTTATTTAATAGAACATTTCTTACTGGTTTTAAAGCAATAAACCTAGGAACACCTCTTGCATACCTAACCATAGGCTCATAGCAATCAAAAAATGGTTCAATGATGATTACTTCATCCCCTGCATCAACATGTCCTAGGAAATAATCAACATTAAATTTTGTTCCAAAGAGATTAAAAACTAACCAGTTATAGCAGCATAAAGAGCCTCATATGCACCTAGAGTGGTCAGAATTTCTTTCTGAGGATTTATTGTACGCCCTATCAATTGCGAGTATAATTTGGCAAGGGCTTGGACTAATCTTGGATGACCCTGAATCAATGAGATTATTTTTAATAACAAATTCCATAATTATGCCTTATCATTCTCTGAACTGCCCTGACCTTTATTGACATTTTAATTCAAATAAGTACGGATAAACGATTGGGAAAATTTAAAAATTCTATACGTACAAATCCTCTAGTATACTGATGCAAGTTTCTATTTGATGCAACTTCTATTAGAGCATCAGTAACATATTTTGGCGGTGGATAATCTGGAAAACCTTGTCCTAAGTTGAGGGGCTTATGGTCCAGGGCTAGCTGGATATATTCAACCCTAACAAAAACATTTTGTATAAAAATTACACTTGTTGGAAAGCTATGGTTATAATGGTAATACTTAATAATAATGGATTCTTTCTTACCAGACACTGGGTTGACTTCCCTCGTAGGTCTTTGGAAGTTTGAATTTTTGTTCAATTTCACTCATTCTTTGATTTGCTGATGATGCTAGAGAAAAATAACGTTTTTTTAGGCACTGCTCCGTAATCAATTGTAAGTTACGAGGAGTGAAAGTTTTTGCAACGATCGACATCTAAAACTGTAAGAAATCAAGATAAGAGATAAAGAAATTATTTATATAATTTGAATAAATAAACCTAAAGAAATATGGTAAATGACAATAGAATTGAGAACTTTATATCGCTTGGAATAGCCAGCAAAATGAGAATAAATTTAAATTTCAATTTACTTTTTAAATTTTGATTATTTACAAAAATTTAAATTCTTACCATCATTTTATGAATGAATAACTTTTATTAGATCGAGTAAGGGACTTATCGATTCAATATATCGATATGTAAATCGATACGTATTTGTCGATAAGGATCTTGCAAAAACCCAAGGTTGTTTGAAAGCAAGGATAATTAATACACACTACTACAAAATAGCCTATCCTCATAAGGCCTGTGTAGAACAAATCTGAAGCCCCCTATCATACCAAATCACCATTAGCGACGTAGGCAGCATGTCGTTTCTCGCCTTGACGTACTATAGTTTTATAATACCCACCAAGGGCGGGTATTATAAAACTGCTTTGACAGTTAACTTGAAGTTAATTTTTTGAATTACATGTAAAGTCTAGTACTCATAACTGCGAAATTCGCATTTTTTTGACATTGCTTCGACAATTTGACGTTTGATACACGCATAAAACGTCAAGTTGTCAACGCAATGTCAAAAAATGCGAATTTCGCAGTTATGAGTACTAGGCTTAATTCCAGAAGTTAACTTTAAGTTAACTCTCAAAGTAGTTTTAGGGCGGGTATTATAAAACTACTTTGAGAGTTAACTTAAAGTTAACTTCTGGAATTACATGTAATTCAAAAAGTTAACTTTAAGTTAACTTTTTGAATTACATGTAATTCCAGAAGTTAACTTTAAGTTAACTTTCAAAGTAGTTTTATAATACCCGCCCTAAGACAGTTTCAAGTTACAAATCACGTGCCTGTCAAAATTTCGGAGGAAATCGACGAAAAAAATGACAAAAACGAACTCAGCCAATGTAAAATTGTCAATGCTTTCAAGTTTTTTAGGTAGAAAAGGCTTGTGTAAAATAGAATCCGGGGACAGACTTTATCCTTGCGTTCGGTATTTTGCTCGAAGAGCAAAGCGTGCAGAGCGGAGACGTAATCACGTGACCAGCGAGCGAACAGAGCAGTTGAACGCTGTATAAAAGTGCCAGAAATTTTAATAAACGAACGCGAATGAGGATACACCGAGTACACTTTTTGAATAAACGAACGGTAAAGTCAAGCTCGGAGAACTCAGACCAAAATAACGAACGCACGGTATATATCGAAATATCGTATCGATAAGCCCCACTTTAGCACAGTTTCTATCCGACGTTGCCAAATTTATTATTTGTCAACAGGGATGCTATTTCTAGTACAATTGTACCAGATCTAGCACAATCACGTTTCACCTAGTACGCTAGTACCTCTCTCATAAATCTAGAACAATTTGGATTAAGAGTCAAGTGTAGCTCTTCGCTCTGTACCGTACCGTACCCGAGTTCTGCGCTTCACTCTCTACTTGTGGGTTCGGTTCCACGTTATCGTCCCACTACGGTGCGGCTAAGTGCGCGTTCACATTGACACCGCTCGAGTGGTGAGCGTTGCGCGATGCGCGATGCCGCTGTAGTGATGCCCAAAAATAATTTTAACATTATATTTCAAGTGAACATGTTAACACCGCGGGACGCGCCGCTCTAGTGTGACCATGTTCATTTGAAATATAATATTAAAATTGTTTTTGGGCATCACTACAGCGGCATCGCGCAACGCTCACCGCTCGAGCGGTGTCAATATGAACGCGCACTAAAGCCAAACAAGAAATTGGCGTTTCGAATATGAGGCAATTTTTGGCGAGGATAATCAAGCATAATCTGATTATGCTGGGTTATGTGATGTGTCAACTGTGTCATACTTCCCAGCTCCCTCTCCATCAAATTCTGGGCCTGCGAGTGACGTCACTATCAGCAGATAATAGCGATGACGTCACCCGCAAACCTCGATCGAATGCTTGCGAGTCAGGCTATGCTTGTGAGTTAATTTTATTGTCGATTTCAAATGTAGAAAAGGTGATTTTCGGTGTGTTCTCACAGAACAAATCAAGATCCTCGAGTATCCCAGAATTTCATGCTGGGGGGGTTAGGGGAGTATGACACAATTGACACATCACATAATCCAGCAAAAGATTATGCTTGGTTATCCTACAGTGGCTAAATAAACCTTTACATACAGTGGCGACAATAGAGGTCCCGCCGCCATCTTGTTCCCAACCTTTTGTTACTTTTAAATATTAATGTAGGATAGAGTGGGGCAGGTTCGGACGGATTTGGTTAAGGTGATACCCACCTTTTATTTCAGCTAAACTAATTGTTCTAAAAATGCAAATATATTGCTTCATATGTTTTTAAACCAATACCATAGCAATTTCAGAAAAAACTTGCACCGTTTTTCGTGAAAATTAAAATAAAATAAGTTTTCATTTGTCCGAAGGTGCCCCACGGTGGTGCAGCTTTGAACACGCATGGGGTAACTCCGGACATATACTTTATAAACAGTTTATTTTTTGACAGGTATATTTTAAATAATTTAGCATCTATCCAAACATCAAAACTCATACTCTAAAGGAACTCCAAACATACAAACTTATAAACTTTGGCAAAAGCCTACAAAAATAAATAATATAAAAATAACAAAAAAAAAATAATGACAAAAAAACGAAAATTAAACATGTTTTTATTATTAAAGTATAAAAGAATTTATTTTAGATTGAAAGAACTAAAATGTACGTTGGATTTTAAAAATTTAGCCATGCGAGCATTCCCAGCATGAAAAGTTGATAGTCCGAATGTGCCCACCCTGTAATGTCCGTATGTGCCCCACATGTCCAAAATGTAAAAAAAACTAAAAAAACTGAAAATCATATGTCTTGTCGATTCTTGAAATATAGGTTATGTCGTGTGAAACTATCATACTTTGCACGCATACCCCTTTAAAACTTAAAAATTACATCACCAAATCGTGCAAAACCTTACGAGTACAGGATATAATACTTGGATGGGGTCACTATTTATGTATTTCTGGTGATCACTCCCAATTTTTTCAAGATACCGGCCCAAAATTTTGTCTGGCGATATAAAGCAGGCACTGGTACCAACTGTTAAAATCCCGAAACGCGCTAAGTTTTGGAAGGCAGTAAATTCAAAATGTCCGGAGATGCCCCATGTCCGAACCTGCCCCGCTCTACCCTATAGGATTTAAATGGACATCTATCATAAAAAATTGAAATCGACGTATTTAATGACCATTATTAGGTCCATCAACTACGTTGTTTTCCATGATTTATGATGGATGTTCACCTAAATCCCATATATTCCTATCAGTGTTGCCACAGGTGGCCCCATATGGCCAGATCTGGCCCTTTCTAAAGCCTAGTCTCCATAGACACGAAATCGCGGAAAGCGAATTTTTTAAGTGTCATTTTTTGGTGGCTATTTCCGAGCAAATTATTCCCATGTCTCCATAAGCGCGAAATTCGCGTTTTATTTAACAGGTTAAGGTTACCTATGTGTTGTTGTTTGTAATCAATTTGAATTCGATTTAAATGCTTTGAATTTCAAACACTAATCTTTGAAAACCATGAAAGTGATTACTAAAAAACAAAAAAAGATATGTGTCTTGGTGTTGTCTTAATTACATTTAAGTCCCTATTATAATCTTCCTCATCAACCAGCAAGCTGTAATTTATGTCTGTTTTCGGGTCTACAATATTCAATTCTTTGGCAGTATCCATTCTTTATTAGGTATCTACAAGTACAAAACACATCAACGACTCACAGAGAACAGAGCACATACCGACTAAAACATAAACAAAACTAAACTGAAAGTAACACCACATAACCTCATTTTTTTTTGGTGAAATTTCGCGGAAAGTTAAAAAATAGTTAACTTTTTTGCGACGCCGCAAGAAGTTAAAAAATTCGCGAATTTTTCCCGCCATAAAAAAATCAAATGTTAAATGTCAAATTCCAACCAATCGGAAAATATCCGCAAAAAAAAATTCGCGATTTCGCGTCCATGGAGACTAGGCTTAAGACGGAGTGGCCCGTTGGCCACTCTTTTTCGAATCTGGCCCGTTTCTCCATAACAAGCAAATCATAATTTTTTCATGCAAAATAAATGTTTTTGGGCGTGGCACCCGAAAAAAATTTCTGCCTCCGGCGGCGGGCTTTCTCTCTTCTTTTTCATTTAGAAACGGTTTGCCCGAAATTCTGAAATCTGGCCCCTTTTAAAAATATAGTCTGGCATAAAATTTTTAGAGCCTGTGGCAACACTGATTCATATTTAAAAGTAACAAGAGGTTGGGAACAAGATGGCGGCGCCGGCGTTTCAATAGAAACATATGGGATTTTAGAACCAATCAAAAATAGGACAGCAATTGTCGCCACTGTGGTAATAGAGTCACTGTAGGTTATCCTCGCGAAAAATTGCCTATGGTTTCGAACGCACACGCACTTTTTTATTCTGTGACTTGACGTGTGTCATGTAATGGTGGTTATTCGGTTATTCAGCGGATCATGGTAATCGGTAGTCGAATTATAACTAAATATGTAGAAATTTATTTATTTCTATCATTTAGGGCTGGTTTAGGTCTTTGGGTTTCCCAATAGCGAGTCACCCCCAGGTTAAGGATAACTCTAGGTAAACATTGCAACTGGACACGTTTACCCTGGAGTTAAAACCAACCCGCAGGTGACTCGCTATTGAGAAACCGACCCTAAAACAAGTGATATTTACCCCCATTTAGCAGAGCCTACATTTGTATTCAAATTTCAAAATTTGAGTCGCTTTCAGCTAGTACAAAATGTCGCCAATCTAGTACAATTATTCCCTACTTTCTGGTACAATTTTTTTAGTGCTGATAGCATCCTGTTTGTCAATCAATGGAGCTTGATGTTGGCGAATAGGGATAAGGGAAGGGGCAGAAGAACAAGAAGAAATCAAGAAAACAATAAAAGTGGGAAGTGGGAGAAGAAATAAACAAAAATTCATCTTGCATCTGTTTTAAAGCGTTGCTTCTAGGCATTATTCTAATACAGTATTCAGTTCAAGACTTGAAAAGTTGATAAAACCTCGGATAAAACCAGAGTGAAAATGACTACAGCAGATGAACGAGGCATTTTTGCCAAATTGGACGCCATAAAAGAAATCAGGTATTTAATTTACTATATTATGAGGTTGATCAACTCCTACAATCGTCTGCAATACCTACTTATTGAAATTTTAGAGCTAAAACTATCCAATTAGAAAAGCTGAAAGCTCGTCTCATATGCGAAGTAGAATCTCAAGAACAAGAAGAAAAATCTCTAGCTGAATACAAGCAGGAAATGGAACTGTTGTTGCAGGAAAAAATGTCTCACGTTGAAGAGTTGAGGCAGATTCATGCCGATATTAATGCTGTGAGTATAGTAATTTTCCTATTCTATATATGAATAATTATTTTCCCTCTTATCCCTATTAGATGGAAGGCGTTATAAAGCAATCTGAAGAAGGCAGGCAAAGAGCTATGAATGCAGCTTTAAGACTTCACGAAGAATTTCAGCCACTAAAAAATGATATAGATCGTTTGAGAAGAGACAATCTTGGTTTGGAAAGATTGCCAGAACTGCACGAAGAAGAAGGTTCCAGCATTACACCAGAGTGAGCTATTGAACCTATTTTTATTATACTTATTTTGATTTCTTTAATTCTAGAAAATTCTCCCAGCTCTACAATTCCACTAAATCTCAAACATCGTCGTACAGCAAAACAGCTGATTGGACCAGACCTCTATCTCATAACGATGGTAGTATGGGTTCATTGGGACCTCCATTACCTCCAACCTTTTTGCCACCACCAAACCCTCTGAGACTAGTTACTAACAAACCTGATCCTGGACGATCCAGTGGTATGGGACCCTCTTCGCATTCTGGACCTCCAACACCTACTTTCAGGTCGGATCTTAGTAGTCTGAGGTGCTAATTTAAACTTTAATGTTTTTAGTTTATAAATTTTGTATTTATACATATTGTTTTTTTTTTCAGACAACAACCTCCGCCAATGAAGTCTTGTCTCAGCTGCCACCAGCAAATCCACAGAAATGCTCCGATTTGTCCGTTGTGTAAGGCCAAATCCAGATCTCGCAATCCAAAGAAACCAAAGAAAAAGGACCATTAAGGTCAATGTTTCTTTGATCTTTTTTTTTAAATTACATATTAAACTGCAATGTATAATGTTGCATTATTTTTTAATGTTTAGTAAGTACTAAATAGCAGCTTCTGTTCTGAGAATTGTATCTCTGAACTTGGATTATAATAATTTTTAATGTTTATCCCAGTGATAATTGTGTTTTTAGTGTGAGTGTACCTTAATGTTTTTTGTATCCTTTTTTTGTGTGAAATTAAATTCGAGCAATAGCAAATATTTAATTAGGGCATTATTGTTTTACTTTTGATACCTAAACCTACAATGCATATTTATTCCTAATGTAATTAGGTAAATGTAGCACTTTTTCTCAAGATGTTTGAAAATACAGAATACATTCAGAAATAAAACCATAAGGAAAATCTAATTGGTGTTATTTTTCTCTGAATAATTTTACTTAAAATTAGAAATATTAGAGAAGCCTTATTTGTTCACAATAATGTGAGCTCTGATTTCAAACAGTTTTATGAAAGCTAACCAATGAGAACTAAATGTATCTACAAATCTATCCTAGATTTTGGTTCTGGGATGTTGCCACAATTTAATAAATAGAAAGACATAACTTTATTTGGTTCCATAATTTTTTTCTACAGAGGAATTTCTAGACGCTGTGAGTGTAGTAAATGGCAAAATAGTACAATTTTTAAATAACAAAATATATAAACTAAAAACTGAAACAAATACTTATAATAACAAACACCATGAGCTTAACTAGTAAACATGAACCATTCCATATATAAATGTCCAAGACAAAATATAAGTGAATAATTGTCCAATAAATCCACTCGTCAATAGCGATTTACGTGATACAAAATACTTGTCCCAGTTTGTGAAGCCTGCTTTACATAAGATCATTATCCAGAGGCTTAGTACTGCACAAACGTAAAATAGGGCTCCTGCTAGACTGGTTAAGCCCAGCACGCCTGCAATACAACCGGAAAGTGCTGCCATTGATGTTCTGCAGTACTCGACGATGGATAAATTATTTCTCATTGCTGATTCACTTTTTATGGATTGTACTTGATTTTTAACCATATTTTAGCTGATTATTGCTTCAGAGAGGATGGTGGAGTGATAGTGTTTATTTACTGTACTGGCTGAAATGAAATCCAAATAAAATTAGCAAACGGATGTCGATTGTCGACAAAAGTAATCAAACAAGCAAGAAGACCATAACCTAACCTAATAAAGTGAAGCGTTTATCGATATTGTTCATAGGTATCGATACGATATTCTTTCAAAAGCTCTAACCGACATGAGAACCGTTCCAGAATCAGTAATTTCCAGTTGCCCACCTATTTTTCAATAAAGTTGAACCTTGTTGAACGTTTATCCTACTTGACAAATGAATTGATCGACTGGAAATTACCGTTCTAGACCGGTTCTCATGTCGGTTGGAACAGAGCTAGTCTGTACTGCTTTTTCCTGTCGAAATTAATATGAGATCAAGCTGCTTTCGAAACTGTACATAGATAGGTACTGTGGGGCCGGATTATGAACATCCTATACGAAAAAGATTCCGAGTCGAAGGTAAACTCGAAGCGTAATCGCATCGTATCGAACGAAAAAGCGATTACGAACTCACAAATCGGCTTTTAATCAGCTGTTCGCAATTCCAATGGCAGAATGTGAAAACTCTTGCTGGAGGTGACGTCAACTGCAGTCCTTTATTGTTGCGTTTAGTATGTGTATGCATCATTCATCATTAAATGCATGGAATTGATGGGAAACTTGCAGTGTTTTTATGGATTATGATTATGAATATCTAAAGACTGCAACCATGTTTCGCTTTATATTTTGATATTTAGCAATGCAAAAATTTAATCATTATAACAACCTTTTGTTTTTTGACAAACAGAGAATCATAATAATTATGGAACATTTGAGCAAGGGTGATTTAGTACATAAAAGCATTGTGCTTTATGGCATAATTTTAAACTTTTTAATTTCCTCTCTACACGTAGATTTTCTTTTCATACTGTTGGTGAATTTGGCTTCTAAATATTATCTTTAATTCATGCGACTGACGGCACGTGACGTCAGTCGCAGTACTCGATGTTCGATATTTTGGCGAATGTATGTCTTATGCCCATGGGTCGACATGGGCCAGACTCGTCTTAACTAGGGTGGATGCTCGCGTGTAGGTATTTACGAATATATTTTAATGAAAACCATAGATCATAGATAGAAACACAAGAATAACAAAATGAAGCAAAACGCGCCCCAATACCCAATGGCATAACAAGAAAAACAAGAACAAAATTAAAACAAGTGTGTGTGCAAGAAGGACAAAAGACGATTCTGTCAACAGCTGTTGTCGGAAGTAGGGGTGGGCAAAATAATCGATTAATCGAGTAATAATCGCTTAATCGATTATTTTATTTTCAAATAATCGATAATCGATTAATAATCGATTAATCGATTATTTTCGATTAATCGATTATTTTCGATTAATCGATTATTTTCGATTAATCGATTATTTTCGATTAATCGATTATTTTCGATTAATCGATTATTTTCGATTAATTGATTATTTTCGATTAATCGATTATTTTCGATTAATCGATTATTTTCGATAATCGATTATTTTCGATTATTCGATTATTTTCGATTAATCGGTTATTTTCGATTGATCAATTATTTACGATTAATCTATTATTTTTGAGATAACTTTATGTTTTGTTTTTGTTTGCAGGACCGGTTTATTCACCTTCTGATAAACTGTTAGGTATGCAATTTCGCGGATAATAACACAATCTGTAATCCCATTGGTCGGCCAGTTATTGGTCGGCCCTTGGTCGACCGAGACAATAATTATAGAAGGGTAAATTGATCTTGCTAATAGTTGTCAACCAGCAAGTCTATCTGAAGATGAATAAACCGGGCCTCAAACTCCAAAGTAACCAGAGAGTTTATTTCAAAACAAGCCGGTTAAGGGCAAGTGAATTTCTTTTACTTCATGAAACCCAAGAAAAAAATCTACCGATTATTGTGAAATAAGCGAATAATCAAAAATAATCGAATAATCAAAAATAATCGAATAATCAAAAATAATCGATAGATCGAAAATAAACGATTTATCAAAAAAAATTATCGATTAATCGAAAATAATCGATTATTTTCGATTAACCGATTACTTTCGATTATTTTCGATCAATCGATTATTTTCGATTAATCGATTATTTTCGATTAATCGATTATTTTCGATTAATCGATTATTTTCGATTAATCGATTATTTTCGATTAATCGATTATTTTCGATTAATCGATTATTTTCGATTAATCGATTATTTTCGATTAATCGATTATTTTCGATTAATCGATTATTTTCGATTAATCAATTATTTTCGATTAATCGATTATTTTCGATTAATCGATTATTTTCGATTAATCGATTATTTCCGATTAATCGATTATTTCCGATTAATCGATTGTTTTCGATTAATCGATTATTTTCGATTAATCGATTAATCGAAAATAATCGATTATTTTTAATAATCGATAATCGATTATTTATTTTGATAATCGCCCAGCCCTAGTCGGAAGCCAAGAACGATAAACCACAGTCCACATAGGATGGTCATATCGGCGATTCTTTTCCGCCTGTTTAGCGTGAGCACTCGCATCTGTAGTGACGTCACCTGGCCCACTGGAAACAATTTTTATGCGTTATTGGTATACGAGGATAATATGGTAGTCATTAATGATGTTATTTTGGCATAATCAGATTATGCTTGATTATCCTCGCAAAAAATTGCCTAAGTAAGGGCGAATTCTCATGGGCGTAAGTTGACATTTCTGGCATAATCACGTGATAAAATGGTTGGGTTTGGGGTTTTATTGGAAAAATATTTGACATGTTGGAGATTTTACCAATCAAATTACATCATATTATCACGTGATTACGCCAGAAATGTCAACTTACGCTCATGAGAATTCGCCCTAATAGCTAAAAAAGCCGCGTAAAGTCGACGCGTCCGCGGTTGCCGCATCGCGTCGAGTCGATCAGGGCTGGGATAACGACATTCTACTAGAATTCTACTTTCATGACGTAAAGGTTGCCTAGCAACTGTCATCATTGCCTGTACTGAATAAATGTGTCGCGAATGACGTCATGAAAGTGGAATTCTACTAGTCATGATTCCAGCCCTAGATACCCTACAGGGCCTCTATTGTCGAAACAGGAGATAAGCGTTCTGTCTTAGTTGCCCATATTTCTATTTCCATAACACTGACAAAGACAGAGCAATCGTTCTTTCTCTTGAGAACGCTGTTCCGCGGTTTCAAGAATAGGCATCCTGGTATACAACGTTGCCGTCTCTTTCAAAATTTAATTTTCGATTTTTTTTTATATATACGAGTTTATTTTTTGTATTCGTTTTTATCGGTCCCTTTAGAATCAGGTTGTGTGGGGGCCCCTCAGCTCTGGGGGCCCGACGCAGAGTGCATCGTTTGCTTCATGCTAGATCCGCCACTGATTCGATTCGTATCGAACGATCGTAATCGGGCCCCTGATAACTTTTATGACGTCATCTGGGGTGCCTCAACATAATGCAAATCTCCATAAGGCACCCCGGATGACGTCATGAAGTTACCCATCACCACACAACCTAATAGGTCTGTTTCTGCAGAAATCACAAATCAGTCAAAGCGAATTTAATTGGTTGAAAATAGTCAGAAACAGCTAGAAAACTAGTTTCAAGCAATGAAATTCACTCTGACTGGTTTGTGATTTCTGCAGAAACAGACCTATTAACTTTAGGAACTCTGGTTCAACCGGAAATTTTTCGTTCTAGACAAATGTTTAACTATCGATATCGATTTGCGACTCATTTCTATCGATAAAAGAAACATTGACTTTTTGAACTACAAAACAAAAGGCGTTTTCTCGCGTCTCAAATGAAATGTTGCAAAACATTTTTCAAAACTGGTTCAAGTAATGTCACCATGACGTCATAATTTCTCGGCGCTAGAAAATGGTTTGAAAACGTGGATTGATTGTATTCCGAAACAGTTTGAACCAATTTTGACGTGACGTCATGGGTTTATCGCGAGAATGTACTGTTTCAAAACAGTTTTGAACTAGTTTCGAAAAAGTGGACGCGAGGAAATGCCTCTGATGTTATTGAACTTTACAACCTGTGTGGAAAATGTAAAATGAATAATTTCAGTTATCAAATTAAGCCCGGGACACATCTATCATATATTCTTTCGATCCGACTCCGATCATACAATCAGGGTCCTTATTCTTGGAACAGAGAGCAGTGTTCCCAGGCTTTCTCCTGGGAACGCTGCTCGCCTATTCCAAGAATAAGGACCTTGTTTGTATGATCGGAGTCGGATCGGAAGCGTATGATAGATGTGTCCCGGCCTTTAAACTGAGAAATCGGATATCAATATATATCGAGGAACCTTATTTTGTATACGAACGACATTCGAATGGTAGAAGGCAATTTTTCGCGAGGATTAACCAAGCATAATCTTTTGCTGAATTAGTTGTATTCCTTTCACACCTAGGAGGAGCTCTGGAACAGCTCTAGTGCGTTACGCGCTTATTCCTTTCGAAAAGTGTTTGTTGCACCTGAGTGCTCAAGCCCAACTGAAACCATTCAAATGCATGAAAGCCAACACACATCTGTTTCTTTCAAATCGGGGCGACTAACACCGGAGCGTGTAGCTCTAGTGTTTTAAATTCTTGAAAGGAATACAAATTATGTGATGTGTCATTTGTGTCATACTCCCCCACCATCAAATTCTGGGATACTCGAGGATTAAAGTCATTTAATTTTTTCTGTGAGAACAGACCGAAAATCACCTTTTCTACATTTAAAATCGACGAGAAAATTAACTCACAAGCACAGCCTGAATCACAAGCATTTCATTGAGGTCTGCGGGTGACGTCATCACTATAAGCTGCTGATAGTGACGTCACTCGCAGGCCCAGAATTTGATGAGGGGGAGTATGACACAATTAATTGACACATCACCATAACCCAGCATACTCGAGTATGCTTGATTATTCTCGCGAAAAATTGCCTAGAATTCCACAGTGCACGGATTCCGCGTCGTTGGGATCACGACAAGTAGAATTCTACTTTCATGACGTCACGCGCGACCTATTTATCGCGTACATTACAGGCGATGATCACTGTTGCTAGGCAACCTGATGTAATGAAAGTAGAATGCTACTAAAATTCTACTTTCATGACGTCAGGTTGCATACCAACCATCATCATCGCCTGTATTGTACGCCATAAATAGATCGTGGGTGACGTCATGAAAGCAGTACCTATTCTACTTGTCGTGATCCCAGTCCTGGATCGAGTAGGTTAATATCACCTGATCGCGGTTTAGCTCGTTTCAACGATTTGAGGTTAGGTTTTTAACTTTGTGGCCTTTAGAAAATCCTGCTTGTGTTGTTTTTGGTTTAGTCTGAACTCTAATCTGTAATCCCGTTGATTCAAACACAAAATTAGCAAAACGGAAACAAAACATATAAAATAAACATAACACATGAACAAAAAAATCTATGTTTTCTACCCACGTCAAGAAAGAGCAGGGTTAACGAGAGCCGCTTTCCAGTGACAAATTTTAGGCTGGGTTCCGTTTCCAACCTTGGTTACGGTTACACGTTCCGTAAAGTCTGGTGCCTGAAAAACCGGTCTATACGGAACGCGGGTTAACCGACAACCGACGTTGTACCGACCGGTTAACCAGGTTTGGAAAGGGAAACCACACTTAAGGCGCTCCACACCCGTAGCTTCACACCATTCTTCACACTCTGGTGTTCCGTTCCAAACAACTGTAGTGGTTTCACTGGAATGCACCCTACTTTAGGCAACGTGTTTTTGGTGCACCCATAAAATTGTTGGTGCCAGAGAGGGCAGGGGAGAGGAAAAACGAACAGTTCAGAGTTGCGCGAAACTCTGAAGCACTGGACCGCCTATAAACAGTTCGGGGCGCTCACTGGAAAGCGAATCTCTCCTCACAAACATATGAGGAAACCCAACAAGATCACTTAAGTAGTCGAGTACTCGCGTTCGGTCATGCTTTCGGATCATTTTACGAACGATGAGATCATTAATCCGATCTAACCGATATGAATCGGTTCACACTTTCCGAAAGCGGCTAATGACATCATCTATAAATAAGTTGTATTCCTTTTACACCTATGAGGAGCTCCGGAACAGCTCTGGGGTTTTATGCGCTTATTCCTTTCGAAAGGTGTTTGTTGAACCTGAGTACTCAAGCCCGAAGTAAACCATTTAAATGCAGAAAGTCAGCACATCTGCTCCTTTCAAACCGGGGCGACTTAACACAGGAGCGAGTAGCCCTAGTGTTTCAAACTCTTGAAAGGAATGCAGCTATAGAGAAAATAAGAGCTTGGAATAGACCTATCTATTTTTACCTGTATGCGCGCGCAACACGAGGCAATGCATTTTTATTGGCTAACTAATAGTACAGGTGTGAAGTAATCCTTTTGCACGTTAGGCATCTCCTTGTCCTTGTTTATTGCCTGTGGTCTGACAAGGATAAAATTATGCTTGATATTCAACTTGACGTAGCTTGACAAGTGATCGATTTTCAATTGACAAATAGGTTGCATGTCACGCGATAATTTTCCTCCTTCCTTTTTTATCCCGTGCAAATAAGAACGGATTGCTATACGTAAGTCTAACATAATTTGGTACGTTTTGCCTCGTCTTGCGCAATAAGCGTTCTGCGTCTTTTTCTATCTAATAAAGTTTTCGTATTATTACCTCTTTGTCTGGTAAAATAGATAGGTCTATTAGGGATGGCCAAAATATTCCAATGAATCGATTCTTTACTGCTAAAACGATTCGATTTCCCCGATGCATCGCTTGAAAAAATCGATTCAGCCAAGAATCGAATCGATCCTGGACATCCCTACTTAGAATCATAGAGCTTAGAATAGGAAATAGCTATTTACCTAACAAGTGCGGAAAATGAATTTTTCCGCACGCGGCTGCCGTTCACCGAACGACGCGTAGCGGAGTTTTACCGCACCGTGCGGGAAAACTCATTTTCCGCACGCATATCAGTGCGGAAAATCGATTTTTCCGCACGGCTGTAGGAAAAAAACATTTTGCTTTCCAATTTTTTTCTCAATTTCTTTTACCTCTTAATTTTGCCCACTCAGATTTGTCTATTCCGAGGTCAAATTTCTCCAAAAAAAAAAAAAATCAAATAGCCTGGAATAGAAAAATTATGAATGTTGACTTATCTACTAGTGTTTTCTTAATTTTTCTTTTCTCTATTTCTCAATTTTTGTCTATTCCCGGCTCATGAATTTCTCAAAAAAAATAATTCAAGAGCCTGGAATAGAAAAGACATGAATATCCTCTTAGATGCCATTTTTTTCTTAATTTTTAAGTTTTTCTTAAATTTCTTCTCTCTATTTCTATGTTGAAAAGACAACAGGATTTTAGATTTCACATCTTTCTATTTCGGTAGATTGGACATTTCAAAAAAACTTTTCTTTTATAAATTAGCCTAATGGAAATTCAATTTATTTGTTGTAACAATAAATACAATAAAAAGTGCCTGTGTTGCCACTAAATACACCATTTTTTTTAAAAAAAAATGAATCAAAAATTTAAAACTGGTAATCACATCAATAAGTTATTTTTACAAAGCTGTTTAATACTAACTAGTAGCAACTCAAAAAAAAAAGAATCTAAATTGATTTAATCCTTATCAAAAGTTTTACAAATCACCAAGAATAGCTCCAAAACCAAATGCATGCTTTATTGGTTCCCAGTAGTATCTGTTCCAGTTGTTTGTAGTCACATCAGCTTCAGTTTTTGGTACGCCCGTTTGGGTTAGTTGTACTTCAGTATGGTCATTTTTTTGATCTATTGTAATGGTGACTTGCGAATGGTGCCCCTCTGGCCACTGTTTATACCTCCACTGTTTAACAATTTTCTTATTCGGTACCAGTTCATCAAATGTACCAGTAATATTACCACCAAACAGTGCAAATTTGCCCCCTTTTACTGCTTCCAACTTTACGTGGCCTCTAGTGAAAGCAGTGACCATTTCTACTCGAGTCAAGGCATTATAAAATTCTTCTGCAGCACATTGGAATTTGTGCGTTTGTTCTATGGTAGTTGTGTCAATTTTGAGGCCAACAGTTTTCTTTTCTGAGATTATTGGAGCCATGTTGATCTTTTTATTGAAACCGCTGGCAAGGGTTTTAACTTGATCTGGTTTAATTTCGTCTTTTTTCGGCAGGATCATGCCTTTTGAAAACTCTTCTTTCAAGCTTGAAACGTAGTTTCCCAATTGTTGTCTAACTAATGTTTTGCCATCTTTTAGCATTATTTCTCTAAGTTTTTCGCCTTCTTCGTCAGGATCTTTTAGTTGGATTTGAATCTAAAAATTAAAATTAGTTAAGACTCAAAAGTGACTTGATTCTTGACTGTTATAGAAAGAAAAATACATTTCTGGGTAGGTACTCTGAAGCTAAAATATGCTGTTTTTGGGCATCCATCAACACTTTGGGACAATAGCCTATAATTTTACATTCAATATAAGTGGCTCAGAGAATGGTTGAGTTAAATTAATAATCTTAGTACCAGTACTTTTGCTCTCATTTGACAGCCGTTAAAAATAATCAGGGGTTTGAGTGTACTTATAGACCTTGGCCCATGCAAAACTTTGACGACATATCAAATTCAATAATCGAAAGCAAAAGTATCGGCCCTTGAAGTTGATAATGTTAAGATTGTGACTATATCTTTTTCTGTGGTGTTTATAAACATTACAGAAGTATTGTACAAATAAATCAGAAAATTTAAATTTTTATAATAGAGTTGATTAACACCCTACTCGAGACCCTACTAGACATACTAAGCAAATACAAACACACTATTCAAACTGAAAAGTTTGACGGATGGGAGAATCTTGATTTTTCTCCAGCGGCGGTTACACACGGACGTGGATGGCTTGATACATATACGTGCATGCATCAATGTGCAAACAACAACGTACATGTCACTTTTGTACAGACGCTCGCACAAAACTGTCAGTCTTGCTACTCTTCCTACAGTATTCTGAGTGTGCATACAAAATTTCTAGTGATTCCAGAATTCATTTGAGTGTCATTCTACAGTTTGCACATTCAAAAACGCGACGGTATTTTGCATACACATTGATGTTTTTGTTTGCGCGTTCATGTATGTGCGTACATGTTTTTAGACATTCACGTTCGTGTGTAACCGCCTCAGGGAAAAGAAATCTAAATAAAAGAAAAACTCACATCTAAGTCTGACATGTCATTTTCCTCTGATAAATTTGGAACTTTAATAGTTCCTTTATGTACGACGTCAGTACCGTCGTTCAGTTCGCCTTCCCAGTTTAAAACAATATCCCATTCATAAAAAAAAATCAATTTCCCTTTTCTATTGTTGGCACAAGCTTCTCCTTCGAATTTTTCTACTCCAGTAATCTTTAAATCTGCCTTATCAGTTTTCACTGAAAGAAGAATACAATTTTCAGGAGTTGTTTCAATGCCAGAGGCTGGAAACTTCCAAACTCACCGACAACATTATTAAACAATTCTTTTATCTTTTCTTGGGACCAAGAACTTGCGTTTTTTTCGGTCCAGTGCCAGTTGTTTACGTTGGTTGCATCGGGCCTCTCTTCGACAATCCATCTTGGGTCACCTTCTCCCCATTTAGCCATTTCAATCAAGTTTAATCTGAAAATGTAAAATTCGTTTATAAAAAGGCTTTGGTGAATAAAGCTGCTAGAGTGGACAAACTTATGTTTTTAATTCATAATACTGAGCTAAAGATGATGAATATATTCAAGTTAAAATTGATTAAAATAAACTATTGTAAGATTTTAGCCAACAATAAAGAGAATTTCTTACCTGATGTGCAAGAAAATATGGTAAACTTAAATTATTAATTGATTTCCACAAGTGTTTAAATCAAATTCCGGCTGAATTCTATAAGAGAGCTTGTAGAATTTCTTGAGAAAATACTGAAATTTCTAGAACTCCACAATTCTAGAACGTGCTAAATTCTTATAAAATCCAAATGTCAAAATCAAAATTCAAATTGAACATTGACAGTACAACAGCTGTTCTCTGGCGATTTCGATTGGTAGATATGGAGCAGAGAGAAATTTCATGATTTCCTATCTTTTTCTTTGATATGCTGATAGAAAAAGACGCAACCACGTTTAGTTCGTTTCATAAATTCAAGATATCGATACGATATTCTTTTAAAATATTTGCTTCTTTTTCATATCGATATTTATATGAGAAAATATCGATACTTTTACTTTCCATAATATTTATGTATTTCTCATTTTTTTTCTAGACTGGCTGCTGGGCTTATGAAAATAATACATAATAAAAATATGTAATGGAAAATCAATTCCGTCTAAATTTCTTCTCCCTAATATTCAATTTTTCCAGCTCAATCTTTGTCTATGCCCGGCTCTTGAATTTTTCGAAATAAAAAAATTCAAGAGCTTGGAATAGAAAAAAGATGAATGTCCTCTTCTAGTTTTTTTTTTCTCAAATTTTCCATATTTTTTCCTCAGTTAATTGGTTAATTCTCAGTTTTTGTGTCTCAATTTTTACCTACTCCTCTGGCTCTTGAATTTTCGTTTTCTTCCCAAATTTCTCTACCTAAATAGAAAAAAAAATAAAAGCTTGGAATAGAATCAAAATACTTTGTGTAGCAATTTTTGCTCAATTCCCCTTGAATTTCTTTTCTTGACTTCTCAATTTTTCCCGTTCAATTTTTGTCTATTCCTGTCTGGATTTCTCGAACAAAAAAGTTTACTTATCCGCCAGTTTTTTCCTAACTTTTCTTAAATTTCTTCTCTCCATTCTCAATTTTTCTTACTCTGACACTTATTCTCTCATTTTTGTTTATTCCCGGCTCTTGAATTCACGTTTTCTTCTGATTTTCTTTATAGAGCCTAAAATAGAAACAAAATAGGTACTTTGTATCTAACAATTTTTTTTTTTTTTCAATTTCTCTTAAATTTTTTTTCGCTATATCTCAATTTTTCATAAAGCTCAATTTTTCTCTATTTTTATTGTCTCTTGAATTTGTTGAAATAAAAAAAAATTCAAGAGCCTGGAATAGAAAAAAACATGGATGTCTTCCAGAGCTCATGAGGTGCGTACTGATTAGAAAAATACCGGGTGACAATGAAACTACTACCCACGGCGGCAGTTCTTAACGGCTCGAGATAGAAATATACAATTCCGTATGTCGATAGGGTTGAAAATTTTGAACAATTTTAATATAAAAACAACTGAATGGCTTTACCGGTTTCACCGTAAATGGCATTGACTTTGTTATTTCAAATGGAACACCCTGTATATTATCTTTTTTTTGGACTCTCTGAGCAATTCTAAATAACTTTTGTCAAAATACCCTATGTCAAAAATTGATAGTTTTTGAAATAGAGTGGCTCAAAAATATGTCGTAATTCCTATTTGTTTGTATTTTACGTAAAAACTGAGTATGCCAGAACAAAAAAATTACACATTCAATTGTTTTTATATTTAAATTGTTCACAATTTTCAACCCTATCAACACACCGAGTTGCATATTTCTATCTCGAGCCGTAAAGAAATGCCGCCGTGGGTAGTAGTTTCATTGTCACCCGGTATACTTGAAGTAAAATATTCAGTATATTTGATACTTTGTTTTTTACTTGAGTAGGTACTTTTTTTTATAAGGAGAGTACTTAAGAAAAAATAATCAATACAATTTGAATAAAGTACTTATGTTCTGGTACTTAAGTTTGGCAATTTATTTTAAGTACTACTTACTACTTGAAAATGTACTGAAAATTTGAATATTCTTAAGTCGTTTTCAAAAGTGAACTTGAAGTACCTATTCAAACTGTTTTAAGTAGTACCTACCTCTACTTACTATTCAGTATTTTATTTGAGATATATAGGTATACTCTAAGTACTTATTTGGTATAACTAGCCCAAGTATTTTCTAGGAAACAATGCGCGTGGCGCAGAAAAAACAAGTGCAGTTGCATCCCTGTCACCACGTCAGAACAAGTCGAATAATTAATCCATTTGGACGTGTGGCGTTGTCTTTTGAGTTGAGATTGTTGAGAATAGTACCTAAAAAGGTAAATTCCTATATAAATAAGTTGTTACAAATTACTTTACATTTGTTACTTTAAGACAAGATAATCTAGGGTCGTGGAATTCAAAAAATTAAGATAACGTGTAGTCCCTTATTATGTGCAAATGAAACCACTCAAAATCCAACAAACAATAATTTTATTTGATATTTAACAATGTTATATGTAACATAGAGTAACAGTAAATGTTACTTTCTGTAAAATTTTAATGTTGACAGCTTGTTTTTTCCGGTGAATCTGATACCATGTACCTTTCCAATCCGGATCTCTTCAATGGGTGTTGGGGTTTCACTTTTGTGAACTGGAGCCCTTCGTGTTGTTTCCTGTATCCAGGAAGAGGATAGATTGTTGGGGTGACGTCACTCCAGCTGATCCAGACTCCAAACAGTGATCTTTATGTCGAGTAGGTACCCAGAAAAGAATAAGGCAGTTTCAGGTTCACCAATATTTGGGATTATTAATCCTTGAATTCTGTCAAAAAGTGAGTGTCTTGCAAAGGAAATTGAAATTGAAATTTAATATATTATAAAACGATTGTTGTACAGACACTCCCTTCCAACAGAATCAGGTATGAACAGCTATTGCAAGTTGAAAAAAATATATAGGTATTTTAATATAAAAAAAAAACAATTAAATAATTAAGAATAATGGAAAGATAATAATAAAATTAAAATAATAAGATTAAATTAAAATGCTCGTTATGATTGAGCAGCTCTGGCAGAAATTAAATCTTTGGATTCTCCCCCAAATAGACAAAATTTTCTTTTCAAATTAAGGTAGCAGGTAGCTACTATAGATACTACAAGATAAACCTGGGGCAAAAAAATGATTATTTCAGAATCAGAGGTCACTGGCGCCGACTACATGGGGGCATTGGGGCAGGTGCACCCATCACCCATAATAATAAATAATAATAATAATAATAAATTCGTTTATTTCCAATAAAACATATTTACATGTTGTAGGAAATGTTGATAGGTAATACTATTTCAAGAAAGTTTGTTAATTATACGAATTAAAAAACACTATTGAAGATCAAACAGGTGAGTATCGGCAATAACAAAATTCAAAATATTAGGGCATTCCAAAAATAGCATTACGTAGGTACACAAAATAGGCATAAAAAAGTGATTTTTAGGACAATACATTTTAACAAATCATTGAGTAAAGCCCACCACCTACCCTTAAATTAACTATACAAAGAAAAAGCGAGAAATTATGTATAATAATGGAGCAACAATTATAGATAGGTTGTAGAGAGAAGAATATACCAAATTTATATTTATCTACGATTATCAACAACTTAATAACTAAGATTATCAGTTAAGAATTCCTCTACAGTATAGTAAGCTTTAGATATCAATAATTTTTTCAGTTTATTTATAAACTTGTTCAAGGAGAGTTCTATATACTGATTCGGAAGTGTATTGTAAAGCTTACCACACATATAGAAAGAATTTTTTTGATATGCTGCTGTTGAATGTCTCTCCAGGCTTATAGTATTTTTGGCTTGTCTGGTATTTGATTCAAAAAACGTGAATTTATGTTTGTTCTGATGTACGAATTTCGTGCAAGCAAAAATATACAAGGAGGGCAAGGTTAAAATATTTAACTGTATAAATCTGGGTTTGCAGGTCTCAGTAGGTTTCATTCTTAACATTGTTCGAATGGCCCGCTTCTGAATGATAAATGTTGATTGACTAGCGCTTGCATTACCCCACAACATGATACCATAACCCAGCACTGAATGAAAGTTGGCATAGTAAACTGTTTTTAACAAATCGAGATCCAACCTTTTAGCTGACAACACTTTAAGACAATAGCACGATCTACTTAGTTTTCGATTTTGTGTTTCAATGTGCATAGAGCATTTAAAATGATCGTCAATGTAAAAACCCAAGCATTTTGTAGAGTTAACAAACTGAATAGAGTTTGAGTTATGGATGACATCAGCAGTGTTTCTGTTAGACGAGCTAAATCTAATAGCTACGGTTTTATCTATGTTTATTTTGATTTGGTTGTAGGAACACCAATCCTTTACATCGTTGATTATGCTTTGGGTCCTCCTCTCTGCTACAACCTGATTGTCCGCGACTGCCAAAAAGAACGTGTCATCCGCGAACATCATGCACTTACTAGAACGAACACACAGCGGTAAATCGTTTATGTATATTATAAAGAGAAGGGGACCCAAAACAGAACCCTGAGGGACTCCGCTGACCAGTACGCCTTCTCGAGAGACCTGAGGTGAATCCCCAGTACCGTCCTTCAAGACTGTCACCTGCCTTCTGCCTGTTAGATAGCTACTGAACCAGTTCCCTGCGACTCCTCGGATCCCAAGTTGCTCCAACTTCAGAGCCAAAATATGGTGGTTCACACTATCGAATGCCTTTTCAAAATCGCAAGACAATCCAGTCACACAGAGACCACGGTCAAGAGCCATTAACACATCTTTCGTCAAGTCAAAAACAGCCTCGGTTGTAGATTTTTCCGGTAAAAACCCATACTGATCCTTACTCAAAATATTTTTTGTGTTTAGAAAGGACATTAACCGTAGGTAAAGTATTTTCTCTAATATCTTTGAAATGCTGGACAACAGGGATATAGGTCTGTAATTTGACATACATTTTTTTTCGCCCTTATTTTTGTATAAAGGAATGACTTGGGCCAGTTTAAAAACATCCGGAAAAACTCCGGTTTCGAGGCTTAAGTTAAATAAATAGGCTAAAACACTAGACAGCACGGGCGAAAGTTTTTTCAGTAATGTAGATGATATAAGATCAAAGCCGCAGGAGGTTTTGGACTTGAGTTGTGATATGATTCTATTAATTTCGTATTCATCTGTCGGAGACAGGAAGATTGAATTGTTCTGACACGT